GTTCTCTAAATAGACTTTACCTATCAATAGTGTGGAAACACTGTTATTATTACATAAAAAATGATTAGATTACATTTTAAATGAACATCTCTCCTTGTCCCGGCAATTTAGATATAGCAGTAACAGAAATCGACTATATTGTTTTGGTCCAGCACTACACATGATTCAAAATTTGATTTCAAATGGAGAATATAATTTGGACCTTCTCAAATAATGCCTGGTATGTAATCTTCGTCTATTTTCCCGCTTCACCGATACAATGCTTTCGCATGGGCTAGCTGCATACATGTAGATAAAATGGGATATATTCGTTTGCTTTTTCTGTCTTCCGGGGGAACAGATATTTGAGATTTGCCGTTAAAAAAATATCAGTGCTTTCAGTGTCGAATACATTTCCATGCAATTTGATTCCAATACGAGTTGTGTCCCCTTTGGTAGCCGCTTAAAGTCTACAATAAACGCTTTTTATAACCTTACTATATAACACTTTACCCTTTGTTACAATGAAAATTATAATACAAGAGTAGCAATGACTTCCTTTCTCTAGTGCTCTCTACTTTAGTTTTCATACAATATTTTGTATTGTAAAGGATTCTTAGCACTATGCAGATGTCAAGCATATGTAAAAGAATTTTAATCATTTTGTGAAAAATTTTGTGAAAATGACATTTACATGTACTGCCTTGTGATGTTTATGTTATAGGTTCTGAATCTATGAGAGTTTTATATTTGCGATACAATACTGTTGAGTGAGTCTTCTCTTTATGTTGCATTAATGATGTTATATGGCTAGCGATTGGTTGAGCATAAATTCTGTACAATGAGGATTGGTTGAGCTGTGTATGTTACATTATTATTGTTTGGCTGGTCCCTATATATTATATTCCTGCTGGTCGGCTAAAAGTATATGTTATGTAACTGTCGCCTGGCTGATGGTTAGTGGAGCTCTGTAGCATTGATCTTTTTGTCTTGGTACTGATGATTGGTTAAACTTTAGGATAATAACGCAATACTCCTGGGTAGCCTCTTATTAGTTTATAATTTCTTTTAATATTTTGCTTCGAGGTTTTAGAAATCTTTTTTTAACAATCACATTAAAGAATGTCTTCGGGTTATGATTGAAAGTTTGTTCTTTTGCCTCCTGTTTGAGAATTTTCACTTATATTTCTCTTACTTCTGCATCAATATACCAGTCCTTCATCACTTGCATACGGGTTTAATGAAAATTATGGAGATAACGAACAGTGTTCAAGATCAAAAGTCCATCAAACAATACAAAATAGGATCAGAGCAATCATGGACCTCCAAAACATCAGAGGCGGGATCAGGTGCCATGGAGGAGTGAGCATCCCCTGCCTACCACTCACACCCGCCGTGTGCTCCTTGTCATGATCGGGAAATAACGGAAAAATCCGTCGTAAATTTAGTGTATAAATAATGGACTAACAATTAGTATGAAAAACGTCAGTCAGCATTTGACTCAACGATAAATTGTATTTGATGACAAGGTCATTGTATCGGCCATAGAACGTACGAGATAATGACATTAAACGAGACTGCTGATAATCTTGTTTCATCAACTTGTTAGTCAATAATCTACCTCGTTTTAGAAATTGTTTATACGTAGAGCATGCTCTTGCGTATCGAATCGGTTAAGATATATAAACTCCGTATGCAGGTGATGAAGGTATATTACTGCGTAAGTAAGGGAAACTGACGATAGAAAAGTTAAAGACATCACGTTTATCATAGAGCTTGGTTGTTAGAACACCATTAACGTTTTTTCAAGTAAAATACCCAAATATGAAACAGATGTGTTTGACTCTGTGGTATCTTTTATCTCAAGTTCACCAGAATATATATTATTGACATAAGAATGGAAATATTGTCAATTGACAATACGTCATCGATATATCTAAATGTCGAGTTGATTCGATACGCGAGAGCATTCTATACGAATGAACAATTTCTAAGACGATAGAGTTAAATTATTTACAAACAAGTTGCTTATACATGAATATCAGCAGTCTCGTTTAAAGTCGTCATTTCATAATTTTTATGGTCTGTACAATTACCTTGTCAGCAAAATCATTTTATAACTGAGTCAAATGCTGACATTTTTCACACTGATTGTTCGGTAATCATATACACATTGATTTTTCGACGGATTTTTCTGTTTTCCCGATCATTACAAGGAGCTTACGGCGAGTGTGACCGATCGACAGGGATGCTCACTCTTCCATGGCACCTAATCCCTCCTCTGATGTTTTGGAGGTCCGTGTTTACTCTTTTCCAATTTTGTATTGATTGATAGACTTTTGAGCTTTTATGCTGTTCGTTATATCTATATATTTCATTGAGCTTCAAAGAAGTATATGCGGTATATTGCATATTTTTGCCCCACAAAAGTCAACTTTTGAAAAATTCTTGAAATGTGCTGAATTTTAGAAATTGTATGAGAAATATAAATTAACAAAATATATCATAGTTTCAAAGTAGTATATTGACAATTTTTGTTTTTATGACGTCACAAACTAATCCGATTTTATATCATTGTTTAGAAAGAGGACAAAATGGACAAATTTTCAACAATTTTAGCTTTAGAATTTATAGAGCGCAAGTTTGCTCAGGAACAAAATTCACATATTTCATTGATATTATCATTCTATACATTATGTCAAAATATTGAGCCTGATCTGACCTGTGCTCGGTGACTTTTACTCAAAATATCGACATAATATATACATTTTTCTGTAGAAATCATGGAAATTTTAAATTTACGTCATTTTCGTGACGTCATCTCAAACATATGACGTCATTGATTATGAAAATATTCCCCTGTTTCAGAACTTAATTAAATATTTCTCCATCAAAGTTTGATTTTGGGGGCAAATATTGGTTATTACCGAATAAAGTTCTTTAGAGGTTTGCTGAGCACTCGGGATCTTTGAACAGTGAGGGATCTTTGCCGGGACATAGAGCCTCTGTTTAAAGGACGCATCCGAAGAACAGTTGCTTCCTAATTTTCTTTTGTCGACTTAGATTAGTCGCGCCCGGGGTTCGGACCCACGACCTTCCAAACCGGAGCAAAGGCTCCACCAAATGAACAGCCGACTGTTGGGTGGTGGTTGAAGTCAGTTTTTAGTTTTGTCAGTGAGTTTCCCTCAGTTTGAACAGTGATTGTTGCTTGACCAAAATCTGTAATGTATTATACTACTACATGTATGTCTTGTACAACTGCTTTTGGTTTATTCGACATTGAGTAGACTGTTTTATGTAAGCTGAATTTTTTGTGCATTTTCCCTGATTTTGACTTTAGAAAGAAGGAATGAAAAATATAAAATTGTTCAATGCGCATTATGTACATTTGCATATACCTACAAATATTCTGGTTGTTGAGATCGACCACTGATCGTTACCCTCATTATATTTCATTATGAATTTATAACGTTTACCTCCCTTATTTAAGTTCACTGGCGTTAAATAAAATTGTTTGAGCGTCTTTTCTTGCTGTATTACATTATTCATATATGTACATTAATTGTATTAGCATAATCATTGTTCAGTGAAAAAAAGTTAATGAACTATTTTTTTTAAGAATATATCGTAATGATGTCTAATGAGACATGTGGATGCACTATACGAGAGAGACAATCAATGATATTTCTGTTTCTGAAATACTTATCTACTTATAACTGGATCTGGCAGTTGAAAATTTTCAATATATTTCATTGGATTTACGAGGATTTTATAAATAACCACAACTGAAATAGTATACATATATAGTATGTACAAGTATAAGATTTTGAATTAGGTGTAAACAGGTAATAATTATTATCAGGTGTTTTATTGCTGGACCCATTCCTGAAGATTTACTCTTTCATTCTTCATGACAAAAGAAAGTTTTAAAACATTGCTAGTATATGCATGTTTGTTTTTTATACCACTTAATAAATATAATACGCTTAACTTCCCATGTGCAGGTGAAAAGCGTGTTTAGATTAAAATTTAATAAAGGTGTGAAATAATGATACAATGCCGATAATCCTGGTTCAGTGACCTTGGATTGGATTTTCATTGAGTCTATTAGCACCCTTCTTAAAGTCGTGTTTTCTGTATCACGTGCTGACCCTCAGATAAGAGAGATAACTCTCAAAGTTCAAAACAAGAATTCTACTCATTGTTTTCTTTCTAAGATTTTCCTTATTTAGACCTATGAGTAGTAAATTCCATCAAACCTAACACATGATGTTAAAATCATCTTCTATCTCTTTTGTCTTAACTTTTGAAATTGTTTTATTTTATTTAGCGAAAAACATTTAAAATCCGTTTTAAAAGCCTCATGAATCTAATAAATTCTACCGGTTTAAGTTCTATTTTAAAAATGATTAAATGTTTCACGTACCAAATACAGAAATTTTATTGTATGATTTTTTTCAAATGAAAAAAAATATTTAGAAGAAAGATAACTCTTGTTAACAGATGTATTTTTTTATTCTTACAACCACATCCAACATTATGAAATTCTGACTTAGGAAGCAGCGCTGAATTATGTTTTCTAACATGATTTTAATAAGTATAATACTTAATATTATTTTCATATACATCGCATTTTTTTAGTTTTATGTTTTGAAAATAAATCGTTACTCGTTCTATCCTCTGTGTCAAAATTTCTTCATAGCATAATTTGGCATAAAATCATTTCTGAAAAAGAAATAAGGAGCGTTTCATACCTCATACTATTTTCCATTTGAAGCTGATGCTATAGCTCTTAATGAAAATCAATCTTGGGAAGTTTTTTTTTAAAATGTGAAATTTGTAGCAGAGGGTTATTAGTCCATAAGAAAACAGTAATTCGGATTAGCTTTGTTTTTTTAAATATCAAAATTTATGTATTGCTATAAATAAACATATTCTCCAAACAATACTTTTTATTAATTCATCATTGATAAATTGGATTACTCTATAACGTAATAAGGGATCTTTTCTGTATTTTTCAGATGATGAGAAAATGCTGTCATTGGTGCCGATAATTAATGAAATCAACTGATCGACCAATCAGATTTTGAGCTGAGGTGTCCACGTTTGATTTTATTGAACTGAATTTATTTCTTGTGATATTTGATTACCCTCACCACACTCAGTGACGATATATAAAGAAATATATTGGATTTCTCATCATACAGGAGGACTTCTTGCCTATTTCAGTGATAGAGAAAAAATTCCTTTAATTATATGATTTATGGTAAATTTAAGACCCATAATTCATAAAAACCTAAAGGTCCGTCAACTGGGAAAGTTCAAGTGGATTAATGGAATTTAAAAAATCTATACCATAAACAAGACTTATGGTAACTATTGCCAAGGTTGGAGAGTTCACTTACAGTCGGGATTAACCGCTAACACCCGTGTACTCACCAGACTTTGGATAAATTCTCCCCGAAAACACGGCCTGGAAAATTGTGGTGCAAAAACAAAATATACAAGCGATGAAGTTACCGACTCTACACTTTATCCAAATTTCTGTGGATTATACACAAAATAAGAGCTGCCCTTTTGTGAAAATCGTGTCTTTGGTCAATGGATGCTAGTGTTAATTTTCGTATTTTATAATAGTGCCAAAATTATTTGCAGAAGAGGATGTTCTTTCGAGAAAAGGGATAGAGGACTGGAGGTTGGTTTTAAAACTTCATGCGTAATCTGCCCACAGTTTTGATTGAGGTGTATATATTTTCGTCTTCAGGATCGGATATAAGGAATTTTTAAAAATTTTTTTCCATTCATTGAATTTTAAGGAAATCCACATTCCTAGAGGGACTGCAAGTGTCGTGTTCGTGGGTAGCGGAGTCCCTTTGGACGCGATTACGGTGTCAACTTCAAAAAAACAACTTAAATAAAATCATGTAAGGCATCAAATTTGTTAATTGTGTTAAAGAAGCAATTTAGACTGGAATATTTTTTCTAGAACAGAAAATGCTTTCTCAACTAGTTAAGTCGGTGCAGTATTAAGGTGACTGAGGATCTGAGTAATGGAGGAACAGACATTTCCGTCTATCGATGTTAACTCGTCTGTGGTGTATGCTGTCTCAAATTTAACTGGTCTAAATCTGAGCACCACCGAGATCCCAGAATCCAAGGAAACAACGTCGGGAATTCCGGAATCGCCCTACACACCATGGGAGCAGGCGATAATTCTGTTTTTCCTCATTTTAATGATGATAGGGACGATCATAGGAAACTCTTTAGTATGCATAGCTGTAGCTTTGGTAAAACGACTCCAAACGCCATCAAATCTCCTCATCTTATCCCTTGCATTATCCGACCTTTTGGTAGCTGTCTTAGTCATGCCATTTGCAGCCACCAACGAGGCTGCGGGCCATTGGCTGCTGGGAGACATCGTATGTGATATATTTACGTCACTAGACGTCATCTTGTGTACCGCTTCTATTTTGAATTTATGCATGATCAGTGTGGACAGATACCTTGTAATCACTCGACCGTTTCAGTACGCAATGAAGCGTACACCTCGGCGGATGGCTGTTATGATTGCCAGTGTTTGGATGTTATCTGTTGTGATTTCAATACCCCCTCTTTTGGGATGGAAATCGGAAAGGCCCGACTACGTTTGTTTTATTAGTCAAAACATAGGATACCAAATCTATGCAACTCTTTTGTCCTTCTATATTCCACTAATGGCGATGATATTTGTGTACTTTCGTATTTGGCGGGTATCATCGCGTCTTGCTAAGAAGGAAATGAAATCTCAGCCAGGGAGCATTGATAAAGGGGCTGAAATACTCTACCTTCCGTCTCATCGCACTCCAAGGCATAGCAAAGAAAGTGACTATGGAACGCATCCGAATGGAATTCTCAAAAACGGCGGATGCGGTGACAATTGTAGTAGTAAGAAAAGTTCAAAAGAGGAGGACGAATCCATGTTAGATATGCTAGCGAACCATAGGAACAATAATCGACGGAGATTTACATTGAAGTCACTGCTAAGTCGTAATAACAAGCACTCCCACAAGGAAAGACGGGCAATAAAGACACTGGGGGTTATAATGGGCGGGTTCACCGCGTGCTGGTTGCCATTTTTTATTCTTGCCGTTATTAGACCGTTTTGTGGTGTGAACGAGGAGAATTGTTCCATTCCAGGAAGTCTAATGAGCATTTTTAACTGGTTAGGTTATTTTAATTCATTTTTGAACCCCTTGATTTACGCTCGATTCAACAGAGAATTCCGGACTCCATTTATAGAAATTCTCTGCTGTAGATGTCGTAAAATTAACATCCGGATCCGTTCAGAAAGTTATGCTGAAAAATATGGTGAACCGACAGTGCTAAGGGACACGACATTTCGGGATAGTCTAAAACCTGTTACAGACACTGTAGTGCGGTATGACAGCCAAGGGGTTACAAATGTGCATATCGGAAACGGCAGTGCCGATAATTACGACAAAGACAGAGAAAGTGTTGTGTAATAATGGATACCAGTCACTTAACTGTTTCAAAAGAGCATAATGATATTTCTATAAGGGTACAATTTGCGTCCACAAAGCGTTTGCTAAGTCAATGTTTGAGTAGCGAGCGCTGTTCGTTTTTTATTATTGACGGTATGTAAGGTTCTCCGTACAGAACAACCCTCCCATTTATATCTGTGATATAATTAGTAAAATGTTTTATTTGTTGAACTTGCCAAATTGCAGAAATATATGTATATTAAGTTATTGTTAGACATTAAGATTAATTATTCTAAATTTGAGATTAACCATGACTTGGGATTGTCAAAGGGTACCTGTTTTACAAATGGATTAACAACTTAAAGCGGTGAAAATTTGAGATACTTAAATTTTCAATGGACAAAAATCTCGTTTAAAATAAATTAATTTTTAAATTTACACAAATTTTACAGTTATATTCATGTGAAGAATGAAATAGATTTTGAAGATAAGTTTATTTTGGTCTCAATATTTAATCTTTTTTGTGAAACAGGCGTCCATATTGCAAACCATTTATATTTGAAATGCATAATCACAGCGATATTTTTGCAATATTTTTCATTTATATTCGATAGATTGTGAACATTTTGAATTAGAGCAGTTTTAGTTTTACATATAGTGCGATTTCCCTAAAGTTTTAATTCTTGAACCCATTTCCTTTTTAAACTTTTTATCCTGCAGTGCAGTGAAATTGTTTGGAAACTATTACTATTTGAAAGATTATCAAATGTAACAAAGAAAATTTGAAAAGAATCTAGCCGAAAGTTATGGAAAGTTATCAGTTAAATTGTAAAGAAACCGGTAAAACCTCTAAATAAAATATAACCTACGGAACACGAAAATAAAGCATCTTTAAATTTGTTAAAGCCGTGTATTTAGAGGAGTGTTACTTTTAATTTGCACTTAAGACATTTACTACCTAGACAAAACAACTAAATTAAGAACATTATCTCCCTAAATAGTCATTCAAGTGATTGTACCCGTTGTCAAAGAGCGACGCCACTAGATTAAACGATTAGGTTTGGTAATGCTGAAATCTTTTAAATACGACTTCATTTGATACAAATCCCAACAGGATTTAGTTATTTAAAGTTAATTTGGTCTACAATCTTCACCAACGCAAAGAATGATTCAAAATATTTTATGTTTAATGTTTTAAAGTTTCAGTTTTTTAATTTAAAGAATCTCCTACAACACTTGTTTCCTTCTCTTTTGTAACTGTTTCAAAAGATACCACGTCTTCATTTTTTGATATCTTGTATAAGCAAAAAAAGGCTAATTTGAATATTGGGTCAATCCCGCGAACAGTGAAAGCGCAAGGGTTACATATTTAAGCGGTATCAAACTCTCATTCAGTTAAGCCGATTTTCCTCTAAATTTGGTAGATCTTTTGATAAGGCGCCTGACTAGTGGCTAACCCTCGCGGTGGGCTCCTTCAGGTTGTCAGCGTTAAACTTCACAGGGAGGCAAAAAATTACTCCAGGTTATATTAGATGGCTTGTGTCAAATCATCAATTATTTAATAAGTATTGCAATGCTCAAGACTGTGTCTATTCCAAGTAAACCTTTTAAGCAATAAAATCATCGAAACATGCACTAAAAACTGCTATATCCTGGGTTTCCATCTAAACTGCTGAGAAAGTCATATTATTTAAATGTAATACTCCACATCATAATTCCGAGAAAGCTCATTATTTATTTTTATTTTTATTTATAGATAAAAAAACATTTTTCCAAAGCATAATATTTTATTGTAAATATTGTAAATAGTATTTGTATTTATGTTGTTGAGATTGGAAATCGTCTTGAAATCCGTCGTTCTGTATTCACAAAGTGAATATTTCAATGTTCTCGTTGTATGTTTCATCCTCATGCTCAGTGCTTGTAAAGTGAAAGTAAGCATTACTAAAGATTCTGTTTTGGTTGTTTTATATGTTACTGATCTAGATGTGCATGTGTAATTTTATATCAAAAAGAAATTGTTTACTGATAAACATAAAGAAACACAGATTGGAGCATTATTCGTGATCTTTTTGTTTTAACAATTTAAATTCTTTTTACTTGATGTGAATATAGTATGTTTTATGAATCTATACCTTCAAAAACATTCGGGTAAACTGATATTTCAAATTGTTATATGTAATCGAATATTTTTATTTATTAAAATGATAGTATTTACATGTGATATTGAAACTGAAAAATGTTTTGTTTTTCTTTAAAATGCTTAATTGAAATACTCTATTTCCTCCTGATCCTGAACACAGAAGTACTATATCCGTACGGTAACTTATGATTTACGGTAACTTATGACTTCCAAATTGGTTGTTTTGTTTTATTTTCATAATTTCTTTATTTATAGATTGACTATGTTGATATTTGTTCAGCCATTCATTCTGCTGAAATAAATACTAAGTGCTTTTGTACAGAACAAATGCATTTAATAATTGTTGCGCCAAAATATTAAAATAAAAAACTAAAACATGAGAAATTTGTTTGTCTTTTTTTATGCTAACAATGTTTGTTTATTGCTTGAAATGTAGCGCTTTTGACTTGTTATCATCAATTTTGTTATTTATGCTCCTTAGTTCTCCTGCCAGACAACTGTGTTTGGGTTTTTTTTTTCGTTAAAGTAGGCTAAAACAAACAACATTGTTGAAGTGAAAAAATGTCATTTATTGAAGTAAATAACGTAAAAGTAGAAAAAAAATATTTACAATACAAGAAAGGGGGTCAGGAAAAAGGATTTAAATATAAAATATTACATATCTTAAAAATAATATTGCACAATCTGACCCGAGCACCAAAATGTCATTGTAAATGATATTCATAGACAAAAGGGGATCAACCAGCAGACTAATAAAGAATTCAAAACATGGAAAAACATTGCTATGTATAGTATACATATATCTTCAGTTGACCCCCTACTAAACATAAAAAAATTCTAAACATACATGAAAATGCGCTACATTGCTGCCTGCTATCAAATAAGATTCATCAATTTTGTTATTGATAAGATGAAGCTCTAAAAGGCACCATTTTACAGTCTGATAATACAAACTGATTTTTATAACCCTTTTGTCTCGGTTGTCTAGAATGCAAAACATCACCAACCTAAGGCCAAACCTAGACTTCATGTGATTATTTCAACAGTTTATCTGCAAATGAAAAATAAATCAAAATTTCCATCACAAATCAGGCATCCAAACATTTCCATAGAGAGACTGGTAGATGGTATAGTGTAGAATAATCCAATAAATCTCACTAGCTTACACCATGGAGGGAATATCGATGTCATTTTTACATGTATTTATTATAACAAACATGCTCCTATAGCCAAGAACCTTGAGGAATCCCACAAGACTTGAGAACAAGAACTTCGTGTGTAATTTGATATTTACCAATCATGTACGCAGAGAGAAAGTGATGAAAATTTAATGAAGTGGTCAGAAACATTCAGCTGTTATTATAGGACACTGAAGTAACCTTCAGAGAAGGTCATCAATGTTTCAGTAAAAAAAAAGACTAAAACTGAATGAAGACCTGTAAAACTCCGATACACTTTTGAACCTTATAAAATCGTCTCATTTTTTGGAAGACCCGCAAAATATACTTTGATTTTCAATAAAAGAATGAAAAGAAAGCTGTATATAGACAAAACAGTAGGTCAATTTTCATATACGCGAAGACCTCCGTAACCAAGCTTATAAAATTGTCTGAAATTCTGCGGAGGATCTACCAATGAAAGATATGGAGATATCAAACAGTATTCAAGATCAAAAGTCCTTAAAACAATACAATTAGGAGCAGAGCAAACACGGACCTTCAAACATCAGTTGGTGTTTTATTTTCAATAAAATGAATCCGCATTTTGCGATCGTAGCCTAAACGAAAGCTTTAGATGGACAAAACAGGAGGTCTTTGTTACTTTACAAGACCCTAGCGAGGTAAAACAGTAAAACATACAAAGAACTGATGTTTCATGTTTATTTGTAGCTCAGCGTCTTTGTGATTACGTATACTCTATTTATAAACTATTGCCTTTAACAGTACCCATACCACATAATCAGAACGTCGTTGAAGCCAAATATAAGACACATATGGACATGGTTATTGATAATTTCTTCGCTCTTACCGACAAAATGCTTGAGATTATCTATGGGACATGAAACATCAACAAATACAATCGTTTTAATGAGCAGAGAATAAATAGTTTATGGGTAAATTAAGGAATAGATACTATAAATGTCTCAAATAATGGTAAAAAGAATCTATGGAAACGAACGAAGTTCGCGAGGAAATTTTTCAGAATACTCTCTAATGAAAAATGAATGTAACATCAACGCTACTCAGTGATAACGCAAAAAAGGTTGAATAATAAATATATAGAAATTCTAGATTTGAAAGATTTATATATAGAGGAGTCAAGTGTTAATGTGGATGGGAAATCTATCGTTAGTTACTGGAAGTTACACCTACAAGATGCTGGATCCTCCCCTACAAGATGCTGGATCCTCCCCTGCATTCTACTTTTGATTACCACATTGTAGCTGGATGACCGTACACGTGCTGTTTATTTACCTGAATTAGAGGCTTGGTCTATTGTTAATATATCAATTTCTCTATCATGTAACTCGTGTTGAAATAACGACGAAGTTTTATCAATTAACAATCTTTATTTCCATTTATATGTCAGCTCGGTATATCCAAGTGAACTTGACATAAGCTCCACAGAGTCTCCCACGTCTGCTTTACATATGGATGTTAAATTGATTATATAAGTTGTATGACAATCGAGATGACTTTAACTTTTCCATCGTCAAATAATATTCCGCTTTCATCTGCATATGGTGTATATGTCTCCCAACATCATTGCTACTCAAGAACATGCTCTGAATACGATCCAATTTTAATCTGAGACATGCTACTCACACATAAGTTGATGTTACAGGGATATAAACAACCTCGTTTAAAGTCAACATTTTGTGAATTCTGTGGTCGCTATAATGACCTTATTAGCAAATATGACATATCACTGGGTCGCATTTTGACTGACTTTATTTTTTCATTCCAATTGTTTAACCTTTGGTTTTGTTCTAAATTT